ATTTTCAAATTACAAAATTTCTTATTTTATAATTTTGAAGTACTTGTTTTTCTTAAGATATATTAATATTTGATTAATTTTAATATTTTATTAATAATATATGGTCCCCAATTAATCCACGATTAATCTCCGCCAAGACCGATTAATTTCTTAACATCAGTCGACCGTCGAGCTACCGTCGAACGATTTTTACAACTTTGAATTTTTCCAATATTTCATATTATATAGTTATATATGTCAAGCTATTCAGCAAATTTCTTTAGATTTATGTGTTCTTAAAAATGCTTGTGATTCAATTACTAGATTTCTTTAGATTTATGGGCTGCTTGGTCTAATCATAAAATCTGTAGCAAATTATTTCTAGAACAATTAACTAATTTTGACTAGAACTGTGGGATATTTATCATATTTTAAAATGTGGTCATTCATTATTCCGTCCTTCCTTCTCTTTTCCTATATATTTATCATAAATATATTGAGAAGTCATAACAAGTTGACCCTTAACTAGTCGTGTAAAACCTCACTACCTCCACCAACATTGACTCTGGTTTTGATTTTTATTATCATTCCACGTTTTAAAACTTCAAATCAAGTGTTACGACTAGTCGGTCTTTTATCATTTTTACACCAAATAAAAGTAAATGGTAGAATAACATGGTCTTTTATGTAGACTTTATGATGACTTTTGTAACAACCAACTTAAAATGATAATGGATTTGTTATTCATCTCTATCTGTGCCTCAAAAAGTCAGGCTATGTTTGGCAACTGATAAAGTAGGAAAGAATAAAATAATATAGAAAAAAGCATGTAGAAAAATATTTTATTATAATTATTAACAAAAGATACATATTGAAGAATTTTTTAAAATTTCTATAAATTAGTTGAAAAGCTATTCCCAATACCTATCTAAAAACATTACGATCTAAAAAATAAATAAATAAATAAACTAGTTTATAACACATCAAATATAAGCCTTAAAGAGAGTGATTGTTGATATTTAATATTACGATCTAAAAAACAAATAAACATACACATCAAATTTAAGTGATTGTTGATATTTAATATAGCTTTTCTTTTACTATTTATTCTTTGTTGTTCATCTCTATCTATGCAGGCCATCCTCCACCATTTGTTTGTTCTCTCTATGATTACAACAACTTTTGTCCAAATTATAAGCAGTTTTTTGTTTGTTTTATGGAATAATAGCTTTTGTAGGTCCCAAAAACCAATTAATAATATTCGAATTGGGCTCCATCTTCCCCATCCATCATCCATCGATGCTACCTCTCATGGCGGCCATTTCTTTTTTCCATCTTCATCTGCCTAATTCGTAAAGCAATCTCTCTGGATTCATTCAATCTAATCTTTAAATTCATCGAACTTTCCCCCTTTTCCACTTCAAGTCTCTGGACTCCTTTTCAACTTTCCATCAAGAATCTAGTCTTTCCACAGATTCGTTTATGGAAATCTAATGTTATTCAAGTTTCTTGATTACTAATTCATCAAAAAGATTCATCTTTTGGTTCTTGGTCATGGAGAAACAGATTAGTTTTCGAATGGGAAAGATGGAAAAACAGCAGAGTTTTCGTGTTTCTGCTATGGAGAAACAAAAGAGCTTTCGAATAGCCATGGGAAGACAGATGAGCTTCGGTGTTGACAGAAAGAAACCCAAAGATTCACCAGGAAAACGTGGGGATTCTATGCTTCATCTCGCTTCTAGAGGAGGTAATCTATCAAAAGTCATCGAAATCGTTCAGAGTGTTGGCCTCGATGGATTATCGAAACAAAATCACGAAGGAGAAACCCCTCTTTATGTTGCTGCAGAAAATGGACACTCACATATCGTAGCACAGTTTCTGAAACACCTCGATCTTCAAACCGCATCAATCGCCGCCAACAATGGCTACGATCCCTTTCATATCGCCGCAAAGCAAGGACATTTAGGTATATACGATTTACCCCAATACCCTTCTTCCATTTTTGTTCTTGATTTCATATAATCAAATCAAGATTCAAGATTCAAGATTAAAGATTCAAACTTTTTCGATTTCTGTGATCTTTTGCAGAAGTATTGAGGGAGCTTTTGAGTTCTTTCCCGAATTTAGTGATGACGACGGATTCAGCGAATTCGACTGCTTTACACACAGCAGCTGCTCAAGGACACACAGATGTTGTCGACTTGCTTCTTGATGCTGATTCAAATCTTGCGAAAATAGCCAGAAACAATGGGAAAACAGTGCTTCATACTGCAGCAAGAATGGGTCATTTGGAAGTTGCGAAATCTGTATTGACAAAAGATCCAAGCATCAGTTTCAGAATCGATAAGAAAGGTCAAACTGCTCTTCACATGGCTGTAAAAGGTCAAAACATGGACATGGTGGTTGAGTTAATCAAACCCGATCCTACTGTTTTGAGTTTAGAAGATAACAAAGGGAATACCGCTCTTCATATCGCCACCAAAAAGTGTCGTACTAAGGTTAATTTTTCACCTTCTCCTTCACTCAAACTCGTATAATTTTAGTAAAAAAGAGACATGCAAATGCAAATTCTAATACCCTTTTAACAGATTGTGAAATCCCTGCTGTCGTTTGAGGAGATCAATGTAAACGCAGTCAACAAAGCGGGAGAGACGCCATTAGACATAGCAGAAAACTCGAAAGTGTCAGAAATGGTGAATGTTTTACGTGAAGCAGGTGGCGCTCACTCTAAAGACTTCGGAAAGCCGCCGAACGCCGCCAAGCAACTGAAACAGACGGTGAGTGACATTAAACATGACGTTCAGTCACAAATCCGGCAGACAAGACAAACTGGATTTAGGGTTCGGAAGATTGCAAAGAAGGTGAAGAAGCTTCATATAAGTGGTCTCAACAACGCAATAAACTCCGCCACTGTGGTGGCGGTTTTGATAGCCACCGTGGCTTTTGCCGCCATTTTTACAGTTCCCGGGCAGTATGCGGAGGAGAAAAGAGATGGGTTTTCTCTTGGGCAAGCAAATATAGCGAAAAGTGCTGCGTTTATTATGTTCTTTTTGTTTGATAGTTTGGCGCTTTTTATATCATTGGCTGTGGTTGTGGTTCAGACATCGATTGTGGTGATTGAAGAGAAGGCAAAGAGACAACTTATGTTTGTGATTAACAAGCTTATGTGGTTGGCTTGTTTGTTCATATCGATTTCTTTTATTTCTCTTACTTATGTGGTTGTGGGAGCTCATGAGAGGTGGCTAGCCATTTATGCAACTGTGATTGGTGCAACGATTATGCTTGCTACAATTGGGTCGATGTGTTATTGTGTTGTGAGGCATAGAATGGAGGAGAAGAAGTTGAGAAACATAAGGAGGGCGGAGACGAATTCACATTCTTTTTCAATGATGTCTATGGCTTCGGATCCTGAGATTTACAATGAGAAATACAAGAGGATGTATGCTGTGTGAAAGGAAATCGATTCATGGGTTGGAGAAACGAAGGTTGTTACTAACTATTAGTTTTGAATCAAGAAACACAAGAAGGTGTAGAACGACATGTGAGTGTCTATATCGTTGTGTAATGAATCTAATCATGAGATGAACGTCTATGTTTGTATATATAGTTGATACTACAACTTCATTGCAGGGAAAGTTGTATATTCTATATTCTTTGCTTTTTTGAAGTGATTCTTATATCATGATTGTTTAGATTATGAATTATTGTAACATCCCCCACATATTTTAAATGACGAACCCGAAGAATCTAGAATATTATATGTATGTTTTTAGAATGATATGGAATGGTCGCCTTCTAGAAAAGTCCCCTCTAGTTTCATCCCCATTGAGTTAATTGTCTTTTCGTTTTTGTTACATATATGAATAACTAAAAGTTCTCATAATGATTACATAATTAGAAACTTTGATAAATGCATGGAAGGCACAAATCGATGATGCACACAAACACTTGGAAGGATTGGAATCCGAGTGTAGATTTATGAGATATGTGAGGAGTGCCATCAACATGCTTGGACAGTATCTACGTTGAGAGATCCATTATTGCAATAGTTGCTTTTCTAGAGGTGGCAAAGTTGTGGTCAAGACTCAAGTGGATTGGGATTAAGGAGCTTCTTTCTTGAAAGCATGTGTGGATACCATACAATTTGATCGCATTATATGCAAGCATGCAATAGTTGGTGGAGTAGGCAACACTTGTGGCAAAGCGGGAAGCGAGAGCCTAGAGCGGTCTATGATTTTTCATTGGAGTAGATCAAACTTCAATGGGGTGAGTATCATGGATGATGAGACCAAAATCATGACGAATGCGAGAAACTTGAAGGATACCACGGCTTTGTGGTGGCGGTGTCCGCATGTTGACAATGAAAGATGTATGTATATCGTTGATTCATTGATATTTTGGTTGATTTCATTCAAGAATTCAAGAGACAAATATACCCAAAGAATGTAAAAAATGTAGAAAAGAATCATCTTCGCAAAGTCTTTCGTACTCATATGGTCAATGAATACATAAAAAAGTTCACGATGCTCACCCTTGAGATCTCAATTTTTTTTTTGCAAGGACTCTTTTTCTACTGTTTTGATGACTAGTAAGCATGGGTTAGTATAAAGACCTTCACCTCATCACAAATAATCTCACCATATGGATGAAATGTGCAGCGATGCCCGGACAACCATAACTAACATGAGAGCAAGGGTCAGACCGAGTCACGACACGCTTGGTCCCAAAGCAATTTTGAGGCGCTAAAAGCTTTCCATGCAATTTCTAAGTATCACAACCCCGGCCGAGGCGGCGGAACACGCGGGGCTGTGCGACTAAGTTCATGGATCATAGGCAAACTTAATATATAACACAAGTACAACAATAAACAATATAGCATTCGTGTTCCACATTGATATTTGAATACAATGTTTTTACAAATAACAATAATACATGAATTGCCTTAACAGATAGGTATATAATACAACAGCAAGTAAACTAGGTCACCTGTAATCCAATGTGACATCCCCAAAATCACGGCCAGAAAAGACCGATTTCATTTATGCTTTTAAAATAATTTCAGAGTAATCCTTTGATTAAAGAGTTGCGGAATTTGTTCCCAAAACAAAATATGATAAGATAAAATTTATCAAGCATTTCTTAAAGAAATGTATTTTCATATATAACAAAACTCGGGATGTCATGTTCCGATACAGACAAAAAGCATAAACGACACATTATAAGCCTTACAACAGTTATATACAACTACAGGCCTATAAACAAAATAACTTGATGATTCATCCATTTTATGCTCTCGCGCCACTACTTGTAATACAAATAAAACTGAGTGGGTCAGGCTTGGGAGCCTGGTGAGCATATAAGGTTTTCAACCCACAATAAATAATTATAT